TTTTTGCAGGCATAGTGGTTGGGTGCTGAAGACTTTCCCAAAAGAGCAGAGTTCTGAATCTCACGAGAGTCATGCTTGCAAGCAGGTTCTCGGACAGCGGGCGGTTTGGGCAGGGCGCGCTCGTGGCAGCTAGGCGGCTTGCAAGGCGGCTTAAGAGATTTTTTTTTTTTTATTGAACTAAAATGATTTTTCCGAGTTTTTTTCACCCGAAAAATTTTCCCTGAGCAGTATGACGCAATCCGATGGAAAATTAACGCCGGTGTGAGCGATATTTCTTTATTGCTAAAATTAGCATAACCTAAGGTGATCACTACTGCAATTATGTTATATGAGTTGTCTAATAACCTGTTATTTTCAATTATGCAGGTCTCAACATCTACATCCCCACTAAAATCAACTTTATGTGAAGGTTCTCTCACCAATGTTGTTATCATGGCTTTGCCATTGATTGAGCTGGGTTGGGTTGGGCGACTCCTCTGCTACAATCGTTTCCTCCTGTAGTCTTCTTTTTGTCAAGTACCCCTTTTAGATATGCCATTTACTGCTAGTTTTATTTACCGACCAAAAAAATCGCATGGGATCCAAGCATCCTCTTTATTTAGGTGATTCCTGATACACTTTTTATTCAATCCAGTGAAAAATTTGTAATCTGAAACTCCATCAAAAAGTAGGGGTGTCAATATTTGACACGATATGAAAATCCGACTCGAACCCGACCCGATTTCAAAATGGGTTGGGTTCAGGTTCACGAATTTGACCCGTTTGAAAAACGGTCGGGTTCGGTTTGACCCGACGGATTGCTAGGTCAACCCGCCAACCCGTTTAACATGTGTTGCCCGCATCTGCGCGGCCCAAGCTGCTCGCGCTCCTGCCTCGGCTGCCCTTGCCCTTGCCGCGCGACAATGCCAGAGCGCGCCACCCGTTAGCGGCTGAGGCCGCCGCACGCCCACGAGGTCGCCCGCGCGCGCCTCGCGCCTGCCCACCAACTCGGCGAGACAGCCCGCACGCGCTCTCGCCTGCCTAGCTTCCTGCTCAGGCGCGCACTTGGCGCCGCACGTCGCCGGCCACCGTGTCCAGCCCGTGCGCACCCGACGATCCAGCGAGTCCATCCCGCGCGCACCACCCGAGTCCTCTTCACATGTCGGGTCGGATCAACCCGGCAACCCACCGAGTCGGGTCCAAGTACAGATTTCTGACCAGTTTACCTACCCGGGTCGGATTAGGGTCAACCCATTTGAACCCGGGTCAATTCCGGGTTCGACCCGAACCCGACCCGTCACCCAATTTTGACACCCCTAATTAGAAGTACTTTTACATGAGTTCATGGATTGGCATCTACTCCTATGGAAAAATTATTATGTGCAGACCAGTACAACATCCGGAGATCAACTAGAACGTACCACGTCACTTTTTTCTCGGTACCGGTGCTTGGTACCGCTCGGACCAGGTGACGTGACACATTCTGGTTGATCTCCAGACGGTCCGGTGTCCGCATAAAATAATTTCTCACTCCCACGTGCTCAACGATATTTTTTTACCTAATTTTTATTAACCCATTTAATATTTAAATGATTATATGAGATGAATTTCTTGTTAGTTTTTTTGGAATATAATATCTCTAATACATATAAAATTATAATCATTTTTTATAAAGGTGAAAATTTTGTTTAAAAGTGCTTTATAACCCTAAAAAGCCAAGAAACAATGAACACGTGGGTTAAGAACTTCTTTTTCCTTCTCACATAAAATAAAATTAACATATAAAATATTTAAGAAATATATCATTTTATGCTAGCAAAAAAAAAGTTTATGGTCTTCAAACTTCATATTGACTTTGATCTAAACCAGCCAATTTGCATTGTATGAGCCCTTTCAAATAAAGTTCTATTTACTAATCATGCGTTCTTATGTGATGTGTTGTATTATATTGCATAAATATATTTTCAAGAACATGAAGTCATTAAAGTCGTCCATATTTGATTGGGCATAAGTTCACTCTTAGAGGTGTAAACAAGTCAAAGTTGAGCTCGAGTCACATCGAACTCAAGCTCAAGGACTCAATGGTAAAAAAATTAAAGCAGCTCAAACTCAAGCTCAAACTCGAGCTCGAGTCGAGCCCATAAAACAAGTTCAGGCTCGGCTTGTCCATTCCTTCGTAGGCTCGAGTATAAAATATTTCTCTTTCCAATACATAAAATAAAAAAATTTAATTACCAAACAAATCCTAAATGACAATGGAATGTTGACCATCTTGTTTTTAATTAAACTTAGGCTTTGTTTGGGACGATTTCTTACTGCTTTGTGAAGTTATTTTTTAGTACAAAAATATTTTGGAAGCAGGAAAAAAATTGTGATCTAAAGCTGCCATAAACGAGAAAATTTATAATGTACAGACTCCGAACAACGTCCGGAGACCAACCAGAACACGCCATGTCACTTTTCTGCTCGGTACTGATGCTTGGTACCGTTTGATAGCGGGTGATGTGACGCGCTCTAGTTGATCTCATAACCGTTCAGTATTCGCACAGAATAATTCCTCCCCAAACGAAGCGTTATTGAAGCATGCATGATTGTATTCCACATTAATTAAGCTAGAATTCTCCT